TCATATTGAGTCTACATGCTTTGGTTTTAGGGCTGTCTGTTAGATGTCTTAAGATCTTCTCTTTTTTCCGTCTAGTTGAGGCTTTCTTAGTTTTTCCCCTTTTCATTCTTTTTTGAAGAGGAATATTTTTAACATTCTGCCACGGACTGTATGTGAGCCATGCGTTTCCTGGTCTGCTACACAAAGATAATCCTCTCGTTGTACAACATCCAAGTTCATCCTCTTTCTAGGCATTAAGTTTAATAACAAAAACCCCAAAAAGGTGGTATAAAAACTCACCTGAACCTTGTCTCCAGGTTCGGTTGCCCTTACGGTTCCTTGATCCAGAGAGGTTTAGCCCGTCTTTTCTCCAACGATCCTCCCGCTCTGTCCCGGTTCTGTTGGGTTTGACAGCAAAACCTTCTTTTGCCTGTCAGCTGGACTTCTCTAACCCTTCCTGAGCAGGAGGAACACCAGCTAGCCAGGTGGAATGTTTCAGGAAAAGAATCCTCAAATATTATAAATGCGTTACAGAAAAATGATGATGTGACCCTGAAGAGCACAACCTGGAGCTCATGTGGCAGAACAGGCAACCATTGCAAATCTTGCGTTTCAGTGAAACATCTACATTTTGTGAATTTTATATGCTGCCTCCCCCCATCCTGTCGCGTGCTACAGAGATCACTTTGCTTCTTTCTGGATGTGACTTGGTTCTCTGTGTTATTCCTATGATTTGTGTTAGTCTCTCTGATTACTTCTTGACTTGCTCTCATTTAGGCAGCTGAGATTTCTCATTGTCTTCAGAATTCATGTAATGGGTTTGCATCATTTTCTGCATGGGGCACCGGGGAAATAACCAATTCCGCACATAGCCGCTCTGAAACTTTCTTTAAAATGCTCAGTAGGCACGTGAAGCAAAATGTTATTTACCATCTGACTCACCTGACAGCATTCTCTGGAAATTCCTTAGTGCTACGCGGCATTACCGTGACTGTGTCTGAAACTGTGGCATAATCCTAAAGGGAAAGGGTCTTTCCTTTTTAATAGTCGCATCAGAGAAGAAGCTGGTGAGAGTCGCGACTTAAGGCTCTTCTGGGGCTGGGAACAATCATACTTTGAGCGGTGCCGCCGGTTTGCGATGTCATGCTCAGGAAGCCGCGTCACTTCCCCGCTCTGGCGCGGTGGTGACAGTTCCCTGCTCATTTCAAAGGCGCGTTGAGAGGATCCGTTCACACTTTTCCATCATTTGCACTGTATAAAGTACGAGGCGGCTGGCCGGCAAGCTGCGATACGACCAACAGCGCGGGGTCGTAGCTCGGGCCTCTTTGCACTAGCTGGCGGCCACTGCTCCTCTGAGGGGCCAGATCCTGCCTCTCCTTGCAGGGACGCGGAGTCTCACTCGCGCGGAGAGTATTTGTTTAAGAGGATTTCCTTTCTCATGCAGGGACAGCAGTAGCCATGCCAATAAGGGTGGGAGCGATTATGGGAGATTGACTGGTGGAATATAATCCCTGTGCGATGCTGATCGGATCTGGTGAAGATTGCGTTTCAAAGGTAACGGCTCATCCTGCTCCAGGAGTGGCGGTCCACCCATAAATAGGGCTTTAATGAGATCCGACAGGCCTGATTTCTCTGGTGATACAGTAAAACAACACGACCAATTCTGATGGTTTGGGGTCCTGACCTTTAACAAGGACTCGCGACGCAGGGCAAACTGCCCAAGAGAGATGGAGGGGCAGGAGGCCAGGGGGACAAGGTCGGCAGATAATGAAGTGGTCAGCATTGGATTTCTGTCACTCACAGTGGTTAAGTACAACAGTGAGGGACTTCAGTGAAAGAAACTGTGAAAGAGCACAAGCGGAAAATAACAGAGACCGGGGAATCCGGGGAGGATTTCGGTTGCCTTTCACTGTGAACTCAAACAATCCGAGTGCCTTTGGTAATGAAGAGGGCGAGTGCAGGAATCACGCAAAGAGAGCGAAGGAACAAGGAGGGAGCAGGAGAGATTAAAGCGAGCAGAGGAGGAAATCCAAGGGGACTTGTCATTTGAGCGAGTATCACGGCCGGGTGCTGAGACCCAGGGAAAGGAGAGGGAGCCGCGGAACAGAGCTCTGGACCAGAGGCGGCTGCAGACAGAGCGCTTGACTCATCCGACTGGTGCTGTGGCAGCCACTTGTGGCTGGCTGGCTGTCCTTGTCCGTCTGTCCCTGTCCGTGCCCTCCTTGGCAGCTGAGGACACTCCCAAGCACTGCCCCGGCGGAGGACCTGGGGGCCACCGAGGAGCAGCACCCCGACCGTGCATCCCAGGGGGGCTTCCAGCCTCAGCCTGTCCCTGGCGCGGGGAAGCTCTCCAGCGGGCAGCGGTGGCTTGCCACCTTTCAGGTTCCTTCGTGCTGCTGGAACAAAATTCAGTGGGGCTATCAGCTAAGGAAGCAACCCAACTACCTGCTGGGAATTCCAAGAGCAAAACCGTGAAATGCAGAGGAAACTCGGAGCCATTATTAAGGAGGCACTGACAGGTGACTGTGTCTGAATTTAAGATATTTCCTTGCCACGTGTCCTCCTTTAGACCTAGTTTTAACAGAAGTATTTCATTGCAGTTTTGCTAATACATTTATCTAGGCTACAGGTGATTGAAATCAAATGTGTTCAACCCAGCCACTGAAGAATCACGTTACTGAACAGAAACCCCAAAATTAAGCTGACCAGAAACAAGTGAAAATGGAAAGTCTGAACATGACAGACGCAAATAGTTTGCTAGATTGGATGCTAAAAGCAGCTAAAAAGATAAGTGCTAAGTAGGAAAATATATTTTAAAAACGCTTTAGATGCGGGAGACCAAGCTAGTTTTATTTACATGAGCTAAAAAATGGGATATTGTTTTAGCATTGCTGATCCCTTTGGACATGTTCAAACTGCAGGGCCTACAAAGAACAAATCATTAAATCAGATGTGTCAGTACTTCCTTACACGGACTAAAATAACCTTTAGTCTCAGCTATACAACTGTAAGAACAGTTGCAGAGAGCAACCTGCATCTATACCAGCTTCAGTCAGTGAAAGGTTTGCTCTTTAGTTGTTTTTTGCTTTATTTGGGTGTCTTACTGTTGTTTGGTTTTTGTTCTTTTGTAAACGTAACACTGAAGCCAGGCAACCTGTTAGAGAGGTGAATTGCATGATTACACTGCATTGTTTTAATTTGTCTTTGGATGAATTCTCATAAGCTTTCATGAGAAAATCTCCCATTAGAAGCATTCATTTAATTTAAGAACAGTTGGGAGAGGAAGGGTTGAGATGACAGATGGAGACTGTGGGTGTCTTACGAGAGGGAGCTGAGCTTTTTGTGTTTATCTTTTTGTGGCACATAGTTGCTGTTCTCTGCTGCTTCCATTTTTTTAATCTGTGCTTTTTTGTGCAGCATTTCTTAGAAATCTCTCCTCTTTTGTACTGTAAGTCTAATAGATTTCATTAGTTTTCTCCTGTACTGTGTCAGCTTTAAAACATAACAATATAACACAGTACGGGGATGCAGCCTGGCAAGAAAGCAGAATAAAATAGGCTGAGCCTTAACATGCGGATTTCAATCCAGTTTTGAATTGCACAGTATTTAGCAGCAAAACATACTGCAGTATAGAACTGCTTTCTTCACTAAATCATCTCCCCGATTGTCCGGCCAGCGGCACGCGCCTGCTGAGGACAGTTTTGCAGCTGTGCCAATGCCTTCGCTTTGTAATTAAAGGTTCGCTGTTGGAAAGTGGCCTAAATCTCACACTTAACTTCTATTTACAGTAGCGTAAAGGTAGGTATGAGGTTTCAAGGCGTTATGTTTAGAAAGCATGTATATGAAAATTGCAGGATTTCTGAATGTAACCGGGCACCCTTAATGCTTGTGGCCCAGGCAGGTTGGCTGCAAAAGCTGCAGGAAAACCAAAAGCCTTCAGTGGTGGAAGTCACCCGGTAACAGCTGATAAACAGCAGAAATGGGGACAAGAGCTTTGTTTTGTAAATATCCAAAATATCAACTTAGGCAAATGCAAATACACTGGTAGGAAGAGTCCTGCTGCTGGCAATATTTTGATAACCAGGTTCCTGATTTGTAACTTGCACCTCTTTTAACGGTCTTTAAGTTACACTAACAAATAATCTCTAAACTGCGTTGCCTGTGCGTTAGGACTGCCAGGCCCCCTCACGGAACTAATTAAAATTTAGAAGTAAAATTAAATCCTGTTAAAGTAAGATGGAAAACAGTGAAATGTTTGTTCACTATAAAACTTGCTTTGCTCTGCAACACGGGAAGCAAGCTGTGAATATAGGGCCAAAATTTCAAACATCAGTCTGACTGGTTCTCACTACATTACGTGTGAATTTATTTGCATCTCTGTGTGCTGTCCCTGCATTTGCATTGCACGTGACAAACCAGTTGATACAAGAAGCAAAGCACATTCATTAGATTTTCGCTACTTGTCCGTGAAGTTTTTAACTTAATACGACCAACCTAGAATTGTTTTTTCCCTTGCCCTTCACCATTTCTGAATGATTTGATCATTCCCTGTTCAAATACTAAAACCTCTTTTCCAAGGCTCTGTTGTTTCTAGCTCTGATTACCACAGCCAGTTCTTTTTGCTGTTCCACAGGTTTCAGTCCGTATAAAATACTCTGCCATAACAGACTTCTGTAGTATTTGATTTGTCTGTTTTATCCCTTCAGATCTTTTGTTCTTTCTCCATCCCTCCTTCCTAACAAGTCAAGCTTCGAGATCACCACCTCTGGTCCTTCCCCTTCCTGTTTAAGTTCATGTTCCCACAGTCTCTCCATCAGCTTCATCAGAGATTGAACCTCTACACTTACCGCTCTTATTCTTTTAATCTCATAAAAACGTCTCCGTACTTTCTTCCATCTGTATCATCTATATCATTTCCCACAAACTGAACCGCAAAGCTCTTGCTTTCTCCTCCTTGAAGTCTGCACCGGCCCTACATGACTTGGCTTCTCTTCCTTGAAGCTGCAGTCCCTGATGACGATATGGAGCTGTATTCCATCACCGAGCTCATTAAGGACCTGTGTGGTGAGCTTGATGCAGAAAGGACAGGAACGACTCATTTGCTTTACGCCGGGGTGGATGGCAGAGCCGCAGGGCCTGCCTTTGCCTCTCGCAGTCTGCAAGGAGACATCTCGCCTCGGCTCACAACCTGGGAGCCCCAACCTGCTCCTTCGCTCACCAGTACTCCAGCCCTGTAGGACACACTGACTGGCTTCCAGCTTCCTCTTCCTTCCTCGGGGCGTCGCTGGCTCTGTTACAAACTCCTCTCTGGTGGATTTTCTAATATCAGCTGCCCCAACCCTGGAAACCATTATCCCGTGACCCATCGTCTTCATGAGCAGATGCGGGGACAGGGACATTCCTATATCTGTCTTTTCCTGCTGTCCTGATTTATGACTCTGTAAAATAATAAAACATTAAAAAGGTTGAACCTGAACTGAAGCTATGACTATGACACTATTAATCAAACTGTTGGAGAATTACTTTATAGTAGGTGCCTTAAGCACTGATCCAGTCCGCTACAAGTTGGCCTCAAACATAGTCTAAAGACTGAGTATTGGGCCCGAGAAAGGCAACTTTTGATTGCTTGTGTTCTCCTGCAGCGTACGCCCGTGCAACGCAACCGACCCCAGAGCAGCACTGATGTGGGCAGTGCAGGGAAGAGAACCAAAAGCTGTCCTGGTGTGCTGAGCAGGAGCGATAGGAGAGCTCGTTCGACTCCTCCCGACACGGGGTGATGCCACCGTGTTTCTGAGTGCCTTTCGTACAGCAAGATTGCATTACGTGGTGCAGCATTTAGAGAACTGTTGTGTATATGTTTTGAATTCTGAAGTCCTTCCCAATGCAGAAACACCTCTGGACTGGAAAACAGGAGCATGAACATGACGGCGGGAGCTGGCAGTTTCAGGCAGAAACAGCACTGCCACCCCAATGAGCCCACACAGGATCTGGTCGACTTTTTGAAAATGCTTTTGGTGAGCCTCAACCCTCGAAACTTTCTGAATGTTTGAGACTTGGAGCAGGCTCTGTAGCAGGGGCTGGTCCCCCACTGGCATGAGAAACGTCTGCAGCTGGCGGAGGCTGAGGCTGCAAAATCTCATGCTATTGCCCCGTGCCAAGCAAGTAACTCTCACACCACTCCTTAGTGGGGTCTCAGGGGACAAGGGCCGAAATCAAATCATGGCTTTCTCTCTGTGAAGCAGGTGTTTTAGTACTGGCCTTGTTTGCTCCATGAACTCTTCCCGCACCGTTCCCATTTCCCATCTTGAAGAGCTGGTGCTGATGGTGGCAGGGGCCAAAAAAGGCCTGGTCGGCCTCCCCCGCCCCCCCAGCCGTCACGACCGTCTCTTATCTCAGCCGTCGATGCCACGCTCGCTTGATGTCTCAGTTCCGGAGCAGAGATGTTCCAGCTGCTATCTGGGAAGGCTCTGGCCCCCAAAATATTTAGTTAGCAGCCACTCAGTTAAGTGGAATTGACTTTTTATCGGCTTTCCTCTGTACGTCTGCCACCGG